TTAATTCCCGCGAACAAAATTCCATCAGTAGAGAGGTAACGTATATTCTTCAAGGTGGCCTTTTCCTTCATGCTGAGACAGTCGGAGATTGTACTATGGGTGCCACCTCGCCAGTGATACCATGGCCTGTTCCAACTATGTGAGAAACCGCATACAACAAAATTTTTCGGATCTAAGCCGAAGTGAGACCTACTTCTGAAGCTCCTTCATAACAACAGCGCCATTAACATGGCCACCAAAAGGGCCTACATAACTGGTTTCTTCCTTAAAAGCATCTGAGGATCTACCTTGATAGACCCATCCCAACACCTTTTTTTGTTCAACGCCCTCAGGCTGCACATATTCTTTCTACATTCAGAAGTCAATACCATTTCATATTTCATTAGCCGTTGCATAATGTTCTTTCCAATTCAATTGGATGAAAGGCCCCCTTTGCACTTACTCCGTAAAACCGGTACTCAGAGATAGTTACATCCCAACTTGCAACCTGTACGAATCTATCCTGGGATTCCACCTCGTTTGAGCCCACAATGAAGAAGTGCCGCTCGGGATGGTCTAGAGAAGAGACTAGGCCCACAAAACGTAGATGGGGATTAAACCAACTACAATTCTCGGGCTTTTGGGGATCTGGATGACTTATGAAAGATCCATCGGCAACGGCGAAGACCTGTAAGTCGTAGGGGTCTGCGACCAGTTAACAAAAACACCAACCATTACGTTCATTTCGCGCAGAATAATACATGTTGATATAAGGTCAACTGCAAGCACTTATAGCTAAAGACATGTGGTAGATTCTCACTCTTAGGATCACAAAAAAAGCTAAACACCTTATCCAGCGTGAATTTCCCCGAGTTGCCATTCAGTAGAAATTTGCCAAATTCGTCCGTGAAATTTTCTTGGAGAATATCCGGTGTGCAAATACGGTCAATGTCTGGCTTCTCTGACCGCACAAACGTGCGACACCAGAGAGGGGGGTTAACCAACGTTGACGCCATGCGGATAAAGCAGTGCGGATTCTTGGATATTGTAAATGAGTTAGATTCAATTAGAGGGACTGGATATGTCAATGGCACGAAGAAGTTAATGAGAATTGACTTAAGTTTAAAGAAAGGAATAGAAGTGTTAGTGAGGAGATACTTCTGACTTTTCTCGCCAGGCGTACTTCAATGACACTATTAGGCAACCATGTAATATGAACAAATCGAATCAGGACGACGTAAGCTCGGCCGAAAGATGCTAGTTACAGAGGAATAGTCCCTACAACTGTCCTTTGACGCGTTTGTGCATGCTTCATGCAGTTTTCAATCGGTGTTTCATCTCAGCAGCATTGATATCTCATCTGTACTCCTCATGCACAATATGGCTAGATGCCTTATTTGGTAGGCTTTCTAAGATGCAGCCATTTCAATATTTGCAGGATTATGATTTTAACAACATATGCAAACCTGCTTTCTCATGTCATGGCGACAGACCATGATTATGTTTCAGTGCATATGTCAGTACGTTGTCATGATGAAGTAAAGAGAAGTAAATCTCAAGTTAAATGATGAAATAGTACGCTGCATATCAAGCGATACGAATGATAATCCTTAACAAGAAGCAATATATCCCACTGTCAGCTGTTTATTACGTATACCTCTAGAAAGTTGTTGATATGTACGACACTTAAACGTCAACATGTTACGGGTAACAGCCCAAGACATCGACAAATGCACCTTGCAGGGATAATTTCTACTCATATGACGAGCAAACAGAACATTGCAAGAATTGTGTAACGAAGAAATTGGATCATGAGAATATCTGCTGTCTACTCCGGTCAAAATCAGCTGTCTTTTACCCAGCTTTCTTTCATGCTCCCACCTCACATATAAATTGTTCTACGTGTTGCTTTCGAATCAAAATCCTGAACAACTTCCAACGGTTGTTGTTACTCTCTAGTCCAAGCTTCTCAAGTTCCACCACCAAAGATACCAATGGCTGATCCCCAAATTCAAACCATCCCCAGGTTCTCCCCCCTGGCAACACCACTGATCTGACAGATGCAAACAAGACGATTTGGTCCGATAAATTCATCGGAAAGTGGATCGATGAAGAAATTAAAGGCGGTTTGCCAGGTCCATGTGGCACCAATCGAGGGGAACTACCACAATTTTTCAATGGCACTGTTACTCCGTACAATGTGAAGTCAAATGGGACGTTAATCTCGTGGATTGGGTTCCCAAATCTGGTCCGTCTTTTCGTTTCTTTTGGATTTTGATAATACAAAGCATTGGCTGACTAGGAAGAATAGTTGAACGTTCAATATCAGAGTAGTGAGCCGGTAAGATGGCAAATGGCGGACGCCTCAAGGCTGGTGCAGGACGAGTACCTGGAATGGACTGTTGATCGAGATAAGAATGGCAAAATCATTTCTGTTAAGTTCACATGTGAGGGTCCAGAAGTAAGTATAGCTCGTTCACCATGGCTGCCCAACACTTGCCTTAAAATGGATAGTAGCATAACATCATATTAATACTTCATTTTTGTAATGGTACTAGTACTGGCAATTCCTCGGCGATGCTCAGCCCGAAACAACACTTGCATTGTATAGAACACTCAACCCTGAATATGCGGAGCAAATTAGCCTTGACGATCTTTATCTTACGAACGCAGCTACGGGAACAAAGACATACAACCCAATGAATTACTGGAACAAGTCTACAACTCGTGGCACGATTGCACACCTTGTGCAGCCTAATAATACACTTTCAGCAGAAATTGATATTGCTGCTCAGGCAACCGTCATCAGGCAGAAGAGAGGAACGATCATTGTGGATGCTGACGCACTCATCAAGTGCAGTAAGTACGGGAACCCAGCACGGAACTCGGATCCGACGGTGAGTGGCACGTTTATCCATCTATTGGCAGGTGTCAACCACTTACAAATCTGTGTCTAGATCGGTAATAATATCAATACTCTTGCTCGAGACGGTTCCCACCTTACAATCAAAGACCCCGTGGGGATTTATATCCGATCATTTGACTTAAGAAACCTAAAGCTTGCTATGGACTCCAAACAGAAAGAAATGATCTCACTAAGTGATACAGATGACATTGTCACTTTTCCACGTGGTGCCCTGCCAAAGCGATCAACTGATTACCCTGGTGCAATGCGCATCCATATTTCGGTCCCTAGAACTGAGAAGTACAAGAGTAAGGATCCCGGAGTTGACCGATACCTAACCGTCAGCGACATTTGGGACACCAGCAAGAGAACGTACATTGAGTATGGCGCACAGTTCGCAGATTACATTATGATGGGAGTGACTGGGGTAGCCAACAGTGGGGATGCCGCCAAGGCCCAGAATTGTCCGTGCGCCAAGGGCCCACAAGAGAGGGAGATGATGCTCATGGCGTGGAATGGTGTGATTAGGGATGAAAACGAGGTTGAAGAACACAGGTTGCCGCAATATAACTTCAGGGTGCGCTAAGCTACTGATGTACTAGACCATGATCGCAACATAATTATTTACGGGACTTGCAGGGGCTTTCGTGAGCATAGCCATGAGTTCATGCCTGTGTGCGTACCTCATGATCTGCATTGCATGGTCTTTTCTTTACTCTCCTTTTCTTTTTTCTTGCTTCTTGCTCTCTTTCGTCGTTTATACTCTTGTTGGATGATTCTATCAAAATGCAGCCGTCCTTGCCAGATATGGCGGCAGCAAAAGGGCTACATACAAAAGCGTACCGCTAGGAACTAAAGGGCGAAATCCAAAGAAAAGAATTTCAATCTAAAAAAATTCTTCCAATCTCTTTCTTGTCTAGTGGCACCTGAATGCATCAAGATGCTAAACAGCTGAGATTTTTTCTCAGACCACCAAAAGCAGTTTTTTTGACATGCTAACCTTTGTATAAAAAAGATGATACGCCGAGATCGTACATGTCAAGCTGCTATGGACGAGGGAAGTGACTGAGGTCAGCCACAATTCTCACGTACCTGATTATGCCCACTTAACCCAAAAATTGACTTGGGCGGCCATCCCAGACCAGGTGGCTTGCCAGAGGCTACACGAGAAAGCCCATTAGTAAGCAATGACTACCAGACCCAAACCCGTATCTGCTAGTGCCAAGCTTTAGATAAAGTATGCAATATCAAAAACTGGTAAAATTTTACAAATCTTCATGATCAGTGATTTATACTCTGTTTCAATTGAAAAGAATCTACACGCTTGAGTAACTTTTACCGCATTATTACTAACTTATCTATGTTCCTATATTTTATTGTCTACGCTCTTCAATAAGTTCCTATTGATCTTCAATGGGAAACACTGAAGTACATTACCAGCAACTTGCCGAGCTACACAGGTAACGAACCCTATAAGCATGGTCCTAAAGGCCTCGTGTAAAGTATTGAGTTTGGGCATGTCAGACAGATATCGGTGTTCTAGCCTGGCCACAAACCCTGGCAATTCGCGACTCGACTACATCAGCAAAAATGAAAAATCGCCCCAAGCACCCGGGGTGCTGCATATTCCCCAAGCGCCTTATGCGCCCCGGGTTCATGCAATCATATCTAATACCGTCACTAAGAACTCTCACACCCACAGGGTTCTAGGCAGTTGTCCAATGTACTCTGAAAGCATATGGCGCGCATACCCGCTGAATGTCACCAGAAGTCGATGCTCATAAACGTAGGCCCAACAGCAGCTGAGCTCTGCAATACTGGCTTGAAGTTCATGATTTTATAATAATGCAGTTTTATAACTATTGCGACTGTATTCTAAATAGTCAGCAGCCTATCCGCTTGAAAACGGAACAACCGAATTGAATTCTTAATCACTTGCCGCGCGGTGAATGCTACTTAATCATTTCGTGCATTCATAGGTATTCAATCACACAGTTCTTCAATTCCTTCACCGTGAACTACCGTGAATTGCCGTGAAACGTCGACCTCCTGTTTCTAGGACACTTGCAGCAAGGGGAAGTTCAGAATGTATTTTTATGCGATACTATCATCTAAAGCATCAGTGGTCCAGTGGTATGATGAATCGTTGCCATCGATTCGACCGGGGTTCGATTCCCCGCTGATGCATGACTTGATGATTCTTTTTTTTGTTCTCCGAATAGATGCTTTTCGTTCCACTTTGTATTTCTCCTATCTTCAGCGGACGCATGCAAAGAAGTTTCATGTGGATACATGATATTATGACGGTACCCTCCCTTCACAATTATAAAGATCGTAATCGCTAACCATCCTATACTCCAATCCACCACCCATAGCCATTCACTCCCCATCCCAGATCTCGCCCCACGCATCCGGCTGCATATGCCTCTCCTGCTTACTCCATGGCGAGTCACTCCCCTTATATGGTGTCAATGGCCAATCATACGGCATTCGTATGCCCACTTTTATCCTCTTCCCCTCTGCGTCATTCTCCCCCTCATCCCAATCCGCCGCTACCCCCTCATCCCCGTCAAATATCCCCCTCATATCTACCTTTCCCACCTCCCCGAACAGCCCCGGATGAACCAAGACCCCAGCCTCATAACTACAAATCCTCACTACGGAGCCGTCGTCCTGCCTGTCACGGGGCCCTTGGGCGTGTAGACCCCCCGATAGCCTAGACGACGAACCCAAAGAAGTGGGTGCTCCTCCCCATGCCTGCATAGAGAGGTTCGCTGATGTGAGAAGCGCCCACGCAATGCTAGGTTCGTGACCGGGAGGCGTAGGATTGTACCGGATATAAGTTTTGATATGTGGGGCTGCAAGAGCGCGGGCGGAAAGCCTGACATTTGGCGGGCTAGGGGTTGTCTGCGGGGATGACCAGCGGCAGAAATGTGGTTTGAGGGAAGCCACCTGCTTTCTGTGGGCCGCAGAGGAGGTTTTCATGTGTATGGAGCTGCCGGAGGCGTAGCCATTTAAGCTGGCGCGGATTTCCGAGGTGGTGGGGAAGATGAGCTTGAGCTGTGGAGCGGGGGACCCTGAAGTAGAGGCAGCGGTAGGTTTGCAATGGGATTGAAGAGCTTTGAAGAAGGTAGATTGAAACCAGGTGTTGGGGAGGGTGGCGATGGAGGAGACTTGAATTGCAACAGTGCTGGGGAGAGTGGGGGTAGGTGCAGTGGCTGGAGGTGCGGAGATGGGAATGCGCTGAAGAATGCGCTGAAGCCCAGGCCAACCAAAGGGGGTGGTGGAGAGAGGGTGACGGCCAGGAACACTACCGAGAAAGATAGCGCGGACCGGGGAGAAGTCGATGGGGGCGAGGGCGGAGGTGAGGGGGCCGGTGCGGGAGGGGCCATATGCGGAAAGGTAGGCGAGCAGGGAGGATTTGAATTCCGCACCAATTGGAGATTGGGATATTGGAGTGGGTGAGGGAGGAAGGCTGGACAGCCAGCCGCTGTCCCAGACTCCCTGTGTCATGTTGCCCCAGTCGAACTGGATCATGTTTGCAGTGTGGACAATAACACGCGCTTTGTCCCCGGCGAAGAGGATGAGCATTTTCGTGTGGTGTGTGCCGAAGGGCTCTGGCATCCACGCTCCTATCAGGCGGATGTTGTCTGGGTAAGGGAGGGTTTGGCGATCGGCGTCTAAAGCTGCACGGCGGGGGTCACTACTACCATAGCCATGGACGATGTTGATGCTGAGGGTCGGAAGGGTGGATTGGGGAATGTGGGAGATAAGGAAGGAAAGTGTATGCATATAGTTGAAGCTCCATAGGCTTGTGAGGGGTGTGTCCGATGATGGAGGAGACAAGAGAGAACGAAGAGTGACCGTGCCGTTCGTAGGGAGAGCAGCAATGTCGGTAAGCCGAAAGGGGAGATGATTGTTGGGTGAGGTTGCCACTTGAGTGGATGGCTCCGGTGGTGGTGGAGAGGGTGAAACTGTGAGATCGACAAAGGCGGTGGAAGGAGTCGGCTGTATGGGTGTATCGGCACCGGAGGGCGTTGCACTCGCATCCCCTCCACGACGCATCGGAGGAGGAGATATCTCGCGTTCGAGTGAGACGAGCTTACGTTTTCGGCGATTGGCAGTTTGCCGGAGGAAATCTTGTATAGTGTTCTCGTTCCCAGCTTGCATAGCCTTCTTCCCACTGGCGCCGGTGCTCAGTCCTGCTGTTCCCTCCACCTCCCGTTCGCCAACCTGGGGTATATCCTCCGCATTCTGCCGCTTTTGCCGCTTGACAGATGGGGGTGAAGTGTCACTGTCGCCCATGTGTCTTGCGGATGAGAGGTGAAGATGATGGGATTTCAGGAACGAAGGGAGCTCCAGTTTGGGACGATCCCCCCGTTGACTCTCACCGTCTTGGCACGGAACCTGGATGGATCATGCATCTATGCGATGCCAAGAAGTATGCTCTTCTTGGTTTCCCTTATGCAGTCTGGAGACTAACCAAATCCAGTAGTCTCTGCTAGATCTGAATGACCGCACTCTCCGTTCTCTGTGTCAGTTGCAGACTCCACCTCCAGCGCCTACGATTTAATTTATTTTAATTAGATGAAAAGGGGAGGGTTCTGTATTCATTTTGGAATTCTACTTTCTTTCTACAGTTTCGTTCAAAGCTTTTCCCGTGAACTTCCCCCTCATAGGCCCAAATTAAAAGTCCCAATCTACACTTACTTTTCAACAAAAATGGTCGATGTCACAAAGATCGCCTGCAGGAGGGAAATGTCAGATCAGGTCCATCACTCGTTCGTGAGTTAGTGGCAAGCCGGTACAACGGAAAGATCTAGGGAAACCTGAGACGCATATCCTATCAGTATTTATTTAGATGAGTAAAAGGAGCAGGACTTGAACTGTCTTAGTGTAGCAAGGGACAAAGATAGAGGCGGCGCTTTCTGCTCTCGAACAACGTAATGGGTATAGGTTCTAAGATGTTGCTGTAGTTAATGAATCAAGCAAAATAAAAAGTTAAATTTAAGAAAAATAAAAATAAAATAAATTAAAACAGATTACTCTGGTTCCACTAGAATTTAATTATATAGAACCGGAGCATTGCAGTCCATCTCAGGGAGATGCTGGACAACCCTCTTCCCCAGCTCAACTCGAGAGTTAAACCAGGGCCCTGAATTCTATCCTTCTCCATGGCGCTTTTGGATACCTCCATCGCCGGAGACCACAGCTTTCCACTTCAGCCAAGGCATAGTTCTTCCCGCAACGGGTGTTCCAAGGTCAATATCCTGTAAGATGTACTTACCCAACAGGTAACGTGCGCAACACGACCAAAATGTCTACGCTCAAAATCAGGCACAGAGAATTATCCCCCAATTACCAAGGAAAAATATGGGGTGCTCTTCAAGGCGGTTTATCCGATAGACAAATTGCAAAAAAAATTATAATAAATAATAATAATAATAATAATAATAATAATAATAATAATAATAATAATAATAATAATAATAATAATAATAATAATAATAATAATAACCCTAGGTCAACTGTATGGTGCACTCTCCTTGCGGACAGACTTAGAAGACCCCACCAGCGCTTCAAACCTGGGGGAGAAATTAGAAAAACAACCGAAGAAGAGGATAAAAGGCTGTTCAGGCCAGCTGTCTGAGAGGGGAAAAAAATTAGGAAATGGAAAGCAGCAAGGGGGATCGAACTCATAGACGATAATCTTTTAGCATGGGCAATTAGATATAGGCATTGGAGACCAGAAATGTTGGCGAACAGTGTGATTTGAGGTGAAGAAGCTTCTGTTGAGATGACGGAAAAAAGCAGATCTGGGTCTTCAGATATCCAAGATAAGCTGTTTCGTAAGGGCCATATTGGGGAGATATAAATGATCCTAAGGTGTCACAGACGATGTGGGAATGCTTTATTGGCAGTACAAGGGTTCATAACGCCGTACCTGTACTTGGAGATGAAGAGGCACCGAGGGGGGTGACCACCAAGTTATATTAAGGTATTGGAGGAAGCTCTACCAGATTTCATCGAAGAATCGGGTAATGCTGAAGAGATTATCTTTACGTAAGATAGCTCACCTATTCATACTGCTCTAATAGTCAAACATTGGCTTGAGGAGAAAGATATCAAGGTGATGGAATGGGCTGCCTAGTCACCTCACCTCAATCCCGTTGGGCAAAACTGGAAAGTATGATGCATTGATGGTCTTCCCGTCTTGAGCAAGTGCCTGGTGGCAATGCCAAAGCCAAAGATGCAGTAAAAGAATGCTTGGACTCATTTGCTGGTTGCACTTGGATCCGGAATAACTGCAAAGGTTGGCTGAAGGGGTGCCACGTGTGGGGCTATAATTAAGGCACAATGGTGGTACACGAAATATTAGAAATCCATGGTGTACTCATTAGTCGTGTAGCTATCTCATGGTACCTTTATATGTTAATTGAAGGACTGGTGGTGGAGTTATTAATTTTTTTGCACAGTGGTTGCGTCGGCGGGTTGATGTGAAGGTGTCGTGATGGCACTTGAGTCGTTGGATTATTGATTTCTTTATGTCAGTATCGTGTTCCAGTAGAGTTTCCGGATAATGTCACTGGAGAATATCTAGGCAGAATATTTCGAGGAGGTCTGACGTAACAGGCAATCATAAGACAGTTTGTACGGTGCGTAAGCGGGGTATAAATTTGTCGTTCGAGAAACATGACCATGCGTATACAGTGGTATACAGTAAGTAAACACCTCCAAATGCTGGTAAACAGGGGCAGTCGGAGATTACACCCTCGTGAAAGTGATCACCACGTCACTTACACACAGAGTTATCCACTAATTATCACAAACTTGGTTACCACAAACTAGTCATTGCTTCAATTATCTTATACTTCCGCTATATCAATCTTACCAGTCGCCCAGCAGATTTCCAGAACTTGATAATTCTTGATCTCTTACATTCTTTCTTTACTAGAAAATGAGGAAGTTACTTGCATGTGTCCAAGAGGGATATGGCGTGAGCTAATGTTATCATACGTACAGAGAAGGGTACTAGTTGGTTCTCGACTTCGAACAATATTTCCTTTTGATTTCATCTCACATTCCAGAACTCTCTAACTATGGCTCATGGACTTCCCACCCTATATTTCGTCCACCACCACTGATACTCTCACCACTTCCACCCTCTTCTCCCTCCTGTCCTTTTC